GGACGAGTTTTGAAGGGGGAAGGAGTCGGGAAGAATTCACCTGGCTTCGCGATCTCCCTGCAAACCGATTGGCTGTGAACGGGCCGTATGAAAGTGAATACTTCAGGGCTATTTGATTGCTCCAGGCAACTGTTTACCTTTTGTTTGGTGTCATCCACGTAGACAATTTCCAATTATACAAATGGTTTCAGAAGCTAATGTTGGGATGCCTCGATTATTGACACAAAGTTGACGGAATTTCGCCGTTTATCCTGGACGCGCACGCAGTTGCTTTCTAATTGTTTCTGCAAGAATATGAAGCCTTCCGAACTGGGGTTAATCATCTGTTGTTTATTGTTATTTTACTTCATCCATGGGCCGTCTTGTGGACAAGCTAGTGCAGAAATACCAATTGAAGACACTCCGCAGTTTCACAGCCAAAACCATGAACGAAGGTGAGCGAGATCGATGCACTTTTAGGGACCTTGTTGATTAAACTTTCAAACACAAGTAAGCTTGCAAGTTATTCACGGTGTAAACTTACAAATCTGAAGCACAGAATGCGATACTATACAACAAGCTTTTAAGGAAATCAATTTACTCATAAAATTGATTTTCATTAGGCTGTTAAAATGCTACTTGATTCAAATCTTGAAGGTTTCTTTGGAAGAGTTCAAAATATGATTTTATTATGCTTGGAAATTAAGAAGTTAAGATCTTAGCTGTTACTGGTATAACCTTATCCTACATGAATAAACCTGTTGTGATTTAAATTCACGTAATGAAGAATTTGATCTGTTGGTACAGGAGTGGATAATGACAGGTTGATATAAGCTTATTTTAAATATTAGGAAAGGTTTCAATGAAAGTGTTTTTTTTCGTTCTTAAGAAAACTATATCCTAGTAATAACGGCATCCATGCAGAAAGTTGTAAATAATTTATAATTTAAGGGACCATTGAAGATTCTTATTAACACAGAGGATGCTTTCCACATTTGAAACATTTCAATTAATGTATGGAAGAAACATTCTTCAAATGATTGAAGAGGCATGGGTCAACTAGTGCACATGCTTCTGCCACTGCAGAGACTTCAGAGCACCTCTAAATGTTTCATGGACAGATCATAGAACCTATGTAGAACTTTATCCCCAGGGGAGGGGTACTCCCTCCCTATATGGGCTATGTAGGTACATGTGCCACCCCAAGGGGTATGGTTGTTTAGCCGTTTTGGTCAGAAATATGGTATTGATTTTGACCATTTTGGTCTCAAAAAGGGTTTGATTTTTGCACTCTAGTCTTGAATTGGGCATGTTTTTTGGAAGAAGCTACTTTTTTTATTAATATCAATAAGATCATTAACAAAAGCCCTTCACAATGCCTCTAACATTGGTCTGAACTAGTGAATTAACTATAAGGCAGGTCTGAAACAGGGTATTGATCAAGGGTCAGGTCATAAATAGGGTGTTGAATTTTTGGTCAGATCATAAGTAGGGTGGAGAAAATTGCAGATTTTGGTCATAAATAGGGTACGTAAGGGTTTTGGGAAGTGGGCTGCACACCCCTCCCCAATTTATCTAGGAGTATCCCCATCTCCCGGAACTTTATTGAGATAAACCACAATTCTCTTTGACTTCAAGAACACAGATTCAGATTCAGCAGTCGCATCTTAATTAAGACACAAAAATTAAGTTGGTTTAATGCTCAGGGCTAAAAAAGTTACTTGTTTTGCCTTCTCATCATGGTATTGGTAGTGCTTTTACAGGTCTTCTTTATTTTGAAAAAAAATTGTTCCAGTGGCTGCATGTGTTCAGATGGGATCTGTTTGTAAATCTATTTGTTTAGCCTGCAAGTAGCCTCTCCACCAGGATTCAAGGGTGGAGATCCTACTTGCAGGCTACAACAACATTTGAACGTGGCACACAAAATCAATTTATTTAATTTGTTGTGTTGCTCATTTCAGCCATTTACTTGCACACTTAGCTGACAGAATGGATCTAGATGGGGAAGGATTAAGGTACATTGTATTTTGCTAGTCTGTACCTCACATATAATCCTAAATAGGTATATACTGTTCTGTCTGTCTGTCTGTCTGTCTGTCTGTCTATCTATCTATCTAGCTGCATTTAACCTAAATGTGGCTTAGTTACTTGCCCTCATGTATCTCTGTATGGGAAAATCTGTAACAGATTGACATTTTCCATTCATTTTTTTTCCTGTTAAATGCCTGAGCTTATCCCAGTTCACGTGATGTCAAGTGACTTTAAGACTATTCCCCCACCCTGGATGCATGCAATGTTTGTGCATAATTAACAGGTTTCTCTGAACAACAAATTTGCAATTTCCCTATCAAGTGTGCTAACCATTAGACCAAAAACAACAACAACAACAACATTTTGCAATACAAACATAAAGTAATATGGTCACAATGGTCACTGTCCCCCAGGGAAGGGGCTTCAGCAGGTTGTTGTGCTGTTCCCATTAATGTAACTCGATTTTATGAGGCTTCAGTTTGCTTATAAGCAAATGGCCCATTACACTTAAAATATTTATCCAATGCCCTGTAAATAGTTCCAAAGGAAATACTTTATTATACATCTACAACTGTATTATTTAGCAACTTGCTTTCATACAGTGCAAAGATATCTTGAGGTCAATAACCAAATCAGAAAGACAAGAAAGAACAGTTCTGTAGTGTACATGCATGGTAATTTGCTCCTTTTAAATCATTTCCTAACACTGTGTATTGTAACATCTGTACTTGTAGACATATTCAGAAACACCTTAGTGAAGTAGCTGGAGAATCTGAAAAAGATGTAGAAGATGTTGCAGCTGGTGACAATGCTAAAGGTGCATTTTTTATTTCATTATTTCATATTTGTTACTTTTATTTGTGGATGTCTAAAATATTAAATAATTTATTTATACATACCTTAAATGATCTAACAGTCGCCCCCTCTTATATAAAGGCCTCTTATCCATTAAACGCCCCTGGTGTGGTGTTAAGAGTTTGAAATAGACGCTCCTCTCTACTAAATGCCCTGTTTCTAATAGATGCCCCCCTCCCCAAATAAAAAAAAACTCATCTAAAAATCAAGAGAACACTCTGTAATGCAAAATCATTCAATTTATTTAACACCTTGGTTGCTTGGACAGCAATGGCTTCAAATTGTATCCTGTTTGATCTCAAGTTCAAAGTACGGATTTCTTTTGGTTTGTTCTGGCTCGATAGCATCCAGGAACAACAAGGCCCACTTCACATTTTCATTTTCCATAAACTGCGACAGTGACCGTCACAAAGGAAGACTATCTTCCAAGCACAAGCACAGCTCTCTGTGCTGAGTGAGCCCAGCATCCCAAATGATGAAGCCAATTGTGAAAACACTGTTGACCCAGATGATGACGAAAACATTCATTTACAGTGTCTGGCATGTTGTTTTTTCCTGTCTAGGGTTAGCATGATCTTCACAGCACATGGAAAATTCAACCCTTCTAATGGGAAGAATTTTTTTGAAGACCTTTTGATAGAAATTATGAGATAGATTTTCTATTTTTATTGATGCAAGGTCCCCTCTAGTCTAGAATTATTCCCTTTTAAAATTGTTTGAAGAAAGGCACTCTCAGGACAACAAAATGTTAGGAAACAAGGACAAAGAAATCTATCAGTTGAAGCAGGTCTTACACATTTAAATGTAGCTTGTATATTCTTAGTTTATTAGTTAATTTATTAATTGATCAACTAATTAATTAATTTATTATTTATTTATCAACAGGTATATTTTATTTCTTCAAGTTACATGATTATGATGATAACCAAAAACTTGATGGACTAGAATGGCTGAAGGCTCTAACAGATTTTCACCAAGAGGATAATGACAAGGGGGAATTTAAGGAAGGAGGTCGTGTGTTCCTTGAGCATGAGGCAGAAGCTATCATAGATGAACTACTAACAAAACATGACATGGATGATGATGGTATGATTGACTTTTTGGAACTCATGAACTCAAGAGTCGAGTCTTTCATGACAGATTTGGACAAGCCTGCACCAGGAGGAGATGGAGGTGAACAGCAACAGCAGTATGTTGAAGAACAGTCATCACTGGAGCAAGAATTCAAACAACTTCAACAAGGTCAACAGCCTTCGGAGCACGATCAGCCACAACATGAAAGTGAACCACAGGACACCCGACAACGACAAGACCAACAAGAAGAACACAGTCAACAAGAGACCAATTCTGAGGAACTGAAAGGTGATCAAGAACAGCAAGACAATCAGCGGCAGCATGAACCTTCTTTAGATGATGAATATAAACAACAACAACAGCAACATGAACAGGAAGACCAACAAGAAGAGCAAAATCAACAAGAACATAATCCTGATGAACCTGATCAAGAGGAGCAAGACAATCAGCAGCAACATGAACTTTCTTTAGATGATGAATATAAACAACAACAACAGGACGCCCAACAGCAAGAACATAATCCTGATGCAACACAGGGTGATCAAGATCAACAACACAATCAAGAACAAAGAGAACCTTCGTTAGAAGATGAATATAATCAGCAACAACAACAGCAGTAGCAATAACATAAGATAATTATGACAATTTGAGAAAATTAATCAATAAGTGTGTAATAATAACATCTGAGTTTAGCCTCCAATGCTGTTGTCCTTAATGGGCTCACCAAGCAATCTTTTCTTGCATGACAAACCCAAAGATTGTCGCCAAACAAACTTACTACATGGTCTTGTTAAATTATGCACCCAGTGCCATACTCTTTCTAATAAAATTCAAATGCTTAGCTAGAATAGTGAATTATTTTTATGGGGTATTTTTCAGCCTTTTTAGGGGAATTTCTCTACTTCCATCTGACCATCCTTGCTTGTTTTTTAAAAAGCTATTAACTACCTTTTTAAAATTTAAATTTTCACTCGATGTGGTATTATGCCCAATCTTAACTTAATCCCAGGTCTCTTCCCAATCACTGGAGCTGGAAGAGAATAGAGATGGGCTGGGGGTGGGGTTGAATTTCTTTATGTAATTAACTGGCAACAGTTTCCAGCACTTTCTAAGACTTAGATTTTGATGGGTCATTTATAACCTTTTTATCAGTTGTTACTACAATAATGGTATCAAAAAAAACTGCCCAATTGTTATCGTTTTTGTGACACAAAAGGTTACCATAGCAACAGTGTAACCAGCTGAAACCCTCATTATGTACACTTTGACTGCCAATAAATGAGCTCAGTGACCTCCATTTTATATTGTTGAATTTCGATTTGCAGGATAAAAGATGTAACTTTTGGCAACTTTTGAAAAAATTATGTCTAATGGATTAGAGCCATAAAGATTACCATTATTGGTTCATCAATGGGTAGGCATTTTTATGTGATACCAATATTGTAGCATCACTTGATAAACAGGGGTAGACTGTATCGTCAAAGTATAGCTGTTGAGAAAGTGCTGGAAACTGTTGAAGCAAAATTGCTACTTATCACAGTAATGTGGTCATGGTATAAAAATAATGTTTTAATATATAATACGGGAATAAACCAATGATTCAATAAAAACTCTGATATTATACAAAAAAAGGGGGGAAGATGGTTGAATCTCCGAATTAGACCCCCAACACTGGTCTTAGTCAGTATAGACCCAATATTCCAATATGGGAAACGTACCACTCAGATGTGGTTTTGTATGAATTTTCTGAGCGGTGTATTTTCCAGTCAACACTTGTGTCTCTCATACCTGCCAACCCCCAGAGTACAAAAACCTGGAGACGGCTGGAAATCTTTGCATTGTAAAAATATAATTTTCGACAATGTCTGAATACTCTAAGGAAATCACCCGAAGGCCTTCCGAACGTTCCTGACGTCTCGAAAATAACGAAATTAATGAAAAAAAAAATTGAAAAGAGCCACAGTAGGTAGTTCCCGGGAGATTTGGTGCTCTAACCGGGAGACCGGGAGATTTGATGAAAAACTTGGAGACTCCCGGGAAAACCGGGAGAGTTGGCAGGTCTGGTCTCTATAATTAAAAGCTTATTCCTATCAAGTGGGCAATTACAGAGACATATAAGCTTCCGGGAAGCTTGCATTATCAAAACGTTTAAATGTGGCATGGCTGGCATGGCCTAGGGAGGTCTTGGTACCCCCAAACAAATTTGAAGAAGCCACAACTTTGCAGGCTGTAAAACGAAAACACTGCAGTTTGTTGAGCAGCCAGCTGAGGGCAGAAAAATTTTTTTTCTCCCACCTACTTTCCAGATATGGCTTTCGTGATGGCTCTATACCAGTCCCTAACGTGCCTTGAGCTAAATCCGGGACATGGGAAATGGAGGAAACGCGTTCGGCGCGAAGTACGAAAAAGCAACAACGAAACACGTCCTCAAATACCAAATATATCTTGCTGTTCTTTCTAAAAGCAGTATCCTTGTTACTAAAACGATGAAAAGGGTAATTCACCTTTTTTTGCTGTGTTACCTAGCAGAAGTAACTGGTAAAATTCACGTAGAGGTAAGAATGGCGTAAGTTAACCTTTTCCGGTCACTAATTAGATCGTTTCGTAGATTTTCGTTGGCTCTTGTTCCTGATGAAGAACTGTAAGCTTCAGCTGAAGATCATGTATTGTTTTCTCTCTTTGCCTGGGTAGGAAGATTCTGAGCTGCTATTTTTGAAATCAAAAGCAACTTCCATTGCTACCAAACAATTGATTGGACGTTTTCATTACATAACTTACGAATAACTGAAGGAAACCACACTAATCGACTTTTAAATAGTATGCTAAGCTGTTTGTTAATTTTTTTTTTAATTTTAGCGTTCAGGAATCTTACCAGTAAATTCAAAAAGTTTTGGAATCCAGTTCTGTGAGTATCAAGCTTTATATTAAAGCTTTTTAATGCGACTCTTGCACTTGCAATCTTACGTAATCTGTAAGCTTAAATTTGTGCTTCGTTTTTCGTTTCACAGACATCACACTTGCTAATGATGCGGGGAAAACACTAACAATAACGCCGAAAAAATCGAGATGCTGTTGGAGGGTTGACAAAAATGATCTGGATTGTAAGGTTGGAATAGATCGAATATTGATAGGATTTTATGTCGACATAATTTTTTTTCGAATTTTAATAGTATCGTTTAATAATAAGCTAATCTAATATTTATACAAATTTTTAAGATATCAATTACGCTTACATGTAATTTTTATTGTGGTTTTTTTTTTTTTTTTTTTTTT